TTACACAGATTCACCAAGGAACATGAAAAACTGCATTAGTGCCTTGTTACACAGAAGACCACAAGACTTTGCTGTTATCTTGTCCTTACAGCCCATTAAATTAATGGGTGTGACACAAAAATGAGATGTGCAGGCAGCTAAAGCTTCTTCTGCTGTCTCTGCAACAGCAGTGTCTAATAATGAAAAGTGCTCTTTAGAATAATTCATAGACAACTGAGCCCCTTTAAGGGTACTTTATATTTTACCAAGATATTGCTATTCAGAACAACTGGTTAAAAAAAAAAAGAGTATGTGTGTTCTAAAGAGCCACTATATATAGTCCAGCTAAGGGAATAGCAACTAATGGAAAAGATGAAACTGTCTTAGCATTTCATTTCCCTTTTGTTTTACTACAATGTGGGGATTCCGCTAACAGAAGAGGTGAAGATACAGGGCTAGATTGTAGGAGCCCCAAGTCTACACAAAGGATTAAAGACAATCAAAAATCCTTCCTAATCTGGAGTATTAAGACCCTACTTCTATGCCCATGGTTCCTAAAGTCTATTTTTGGGCCTCCTTAGTGACTATGACACACTTGAACATTTTCCAAGTAAAGCTACAGTTTTGTTCCTCTTAGAAACTGGTTATTATTGAATCTGCTGTTTTTATTTGACCTGGTTTGGACAGCCAAGGCTAGTCTGATGTCATCAGATCTCAGAAGCTAAGCAGGTTCAGCCATGATTAGTACTTCGATGGGAGACCGCCAAGGAATTCCAGGTTTGCTATGCAGAGGCAGGCAATGGCAAACCACCTCTGAATATCTCTTGCCTTAAAAACCCTATAGGGTTGCCATGTCAGCTGCAACTTTTCACAAGAAAAGAAAAGCAAGTCTTGCACGTCACTTTATGCATTGGTCTGTTGCATGATCCCCCGCTCCCGTTAAAAAAATTTATAGAGCCTTTGGATCAGTTTTGCTGATTATGCCAGTGGCATACAGTTGACTCAAGCACACACACAAGCACATTTTATGTAAGGTTTGAAAGGAGGGAGGCATGTGTGCCTGACCAAATTTTAGGGAAAAAAATGTTTCTCTTCTACTGTTTCTTTTACCTGCCCTAAGAAAAATACACATGCCAGCAGCTTTGTTTGCTTGTTAATGAATCTTGAGGAGGCAGAAACAGAATTTCTCAAGTTTAAGGAGAATCACAATGAGGGAGCATAAGAAACTCCACTCTAGGCCATAAAAACAGCAGCACTGAGACTGTAGTTTGTAATTCACGTTTCAAGAGGGGAATTAACAGCATATATCAGTTACAGCATGAAACAAACAGATGTTTTATTAGTAAATTCATGTTATCAACAATCCTTTGAGTACTTGTAAAGAACTATTACTTTACCAGCATTTATCCCTGTGGCTTATAGACAGTATCCCAGAACTACTTACTTACCATTTATTTATTTATTTATTTATACATTCCACTTTACTATCAGGACCCCAAGGCCCATAACAAAAAATTTAACGTCTTGTTTTTTTGTTGTTATTGTTCAGTCACACAGTTGAGTCTGACTCTTTGCGACCCCATGGACCACATCATGCCAGGTCTTTAGACCTTTCCACATTGATTTGTCCCTCAGAAATGTCATATGCATCTAGCATGTAAGAACATAAGAGACGCCAATGTTGGATCAGGCCAAAGGCCCATCCAGTCCAACACTCTGTGTCACACAGTGGCCAGAAATACCAGTGCCATCAGGAGGTCCAGCAGTGGGGCCAGGACATTAGAAGCCCTCCCACTGTTGACCCCCCCCCAAGCACCAAGAAGACAGAGCATCACTTGCCCCAGAGCCCCTAGCTATACCTTGTGGCTAATAGCCACTGATGGACCTCTGCTCCATATGCTTATCTAATTCCCTTTTGAAGCCGTCCATGCTTGTAGCACCCACCACTTCCTGTGGCAGTGAATTCCATGTGTTAATCACTCTTTGGGTGAAGAAGTACTTCCTTTTATCCGTTCTAACCCGACCGCTCTGCAGTTTCATGGAGTGCCCACGAGTTCTTGTATTGTGAGAAAGGGAGAAAAGTACCTCTTTCTTTACCTGCTCTTTCCCATGCATAATCTTATAAACCTCGATCATGTCACCCCTCAGTCGTCTTTTCTCCAAGCTAAAGAGCCCTAAGCGCTTTAACCTTTCCTCATAGGGAAAGTGTTCCAACCCTTTTATCATTCGAGTTGCCCTTTTCTGCACTTTTTCCAAAGCTATAATATCCTTTTTAAGGTGTGGTGCCCAGAACTGCACACAGTATTCCAAATGAGGTCTCACCATTGATTTATATAGGGGCATTATTATATTGGCTGATCTGTTTTCAATACCCTTCCTAATAATCCCCAGCATAGCATTGGCCTTCTTTATTGCAGTCACACACTGTCTCGACATTTTCAGTGAGTTATCCACTACAACTCCAAGATCTCTCTCTTGCTCAGTCTCTGCCAGTTCAGACCCCATCAATGTGTATTTATATTTAGGATTTTTGGCTCCAATGTGCATCACCTTGCACTTGGCCACATTGAACCCCATTTGCCATGTTGACGCCCACTCGCCCATCCTTGACAGATCCCCTTGGAGTGCCTCACAATCCTCACTGGTTTTCACCACCCTGAACAACTTTGTATCATCCGCAAATTTAGCCACTTCACTGCTTACTCCCATCTCCAAATCATTAATGAACAAGTTAAAAAGCAGTGGACCAAGTACTGATCCCTGCGGTACCCCACTGCTTACCACCCTCCACTGAGAAAATTGCCCACCTACACTCACTCTCTGTTTTCTATGAACTAGCCAGTTTTTGATCCATAAAAGGACTTGTCCTTCTATCCCATGATTTTTGAGCTTACTTAGGAGCCTTTGATGAGGAACTTTATCAAAAGCTTTCTGGAAGTCAAGGTAAATAATATCTATTGGATCCCCCTTGTCCACATGTTTGTTCACCCCCTCAAAGAACATTAACAGGTTAGTGAGACAAGATCTTCCCTTACAGAAACCGTGCTGAGTCTGCCTCAATAGGTTTTGTTCATCTATGTGCCTACTAATTCTTTCCTTAATAATGGTTTCCACCAATTTACCCGGTATCGACGTCAGACTAACTGGCCTGTAATTTCCCGGATCTAGGCATTATCTGGTATTGCAGGCTTGGTTTGGTGTATGCTTTCACCTTGCCAAGGGTGTCAGTTTGGCCTAATCAGACTAGCTGTTGCCCTATTTAAATGAGAGTGCTTTATAGAGTATGTCCCACACTTCTCTTAAGCTCTTCCTTGTGGCAAGTCATAGTGGTGGCACTATGGCCTTGTGGCATAGTGGTAAAAGAGACTGGAACCAAGGACACTCAGGTTCAAATCCCCATTCTGCCATGAACCTATCTCAGCCTCATATTATTGTGAAGGTAAAAGGACAGAGGTAGGAAGCACGACTCTGAATTCCTTGGAAGAAGTATGGGTTGAAAACCTAACTAAATGAGCAATAATTGGTGAAGCTATCTTTCAGGGAAGATTGTCCACAGTATTACCCGTTTGCTGATAAGGAGTCCTAATACGTTTCCAAGGAAATGTAGGTTCCTTGGAACTCAGCATGAAACCCCATGTTCCAGAGTATCAGGCATAGCATGCACACACAAGGAAAGTAGATCCTGGTGGTCAGCCATGTTGATCTGAAGCAGTAGAACAAATGTAGAGTCCAGTGGCGCCTTTAAGACCAATAAAGTTTTATTCAAAAACTTCATACAAGGAAAGTGCATCAATGTAGGGCTACTTCTTCCAGTAGTCTGGAAGTACATACATGCTGATAACCAACTATGTACTTGCTGGTGAAACTAGAATTCTGTCACTAAAAAAATTAGAATATTTCTTTTGGAACGTAAAAAGCCATTCTCTACTGTTCGGAAAGACAAAGGTTTTTTTAAAAAAATGTGAGAAGCAAAGCTGTACTTTCTATCAAAGCAGAATGCAATAATTTTCTTTAGATTAGGGAATTTAGAGAGAGCTACTTGAGTGCTAAAAAATATCTTCTGCTTATTCACCAGGGATATCCTCTTCTGTCAGGCCAAGCACTTACAGCAGCACTCAGCACAATGACTCAAATCTTTCTTTACCAGAGAAGAAGTGGTTTTATTCTGGAGATGGCAAGGAGCTACTACACATCACAGTGCCTATAGGATCTTAAATCTTCTTCCTATTGCTCCCAGTGCTTCTTTTATTAGTACAGACTTTACCGTCCCCTCAAGACATCTTTGGCAAATTTAGTGTGCCAAAAATATCCCCCTCCCTTTTGGTTGTATATTGTCTGTGCTACTCTTTGTAGTTTCTCCATCGAAGAAAGTGTTGCTGTACTTTGCAAGGGCTAAGCTGTCAATAGCAGACTGCAGTGAAAGCTGTGCAGTGCCTGTAAACATGCAAAAAAATCCAGTAGCGGAACAGTCTTGTGCGATAATGCACATTGCACCAGGGCCCAAGATGCCTGGGGATTCTTGGCAGCCATCCCAGATAGCTTTTTTGTTCAGTCTGGGTGTTCTTCATATGTTCCCTTTCTCTTTATTCATTTCACAGCAGGATAGAATAATATTGAGTCTTTGTGAAAGGAATGATACCATCAAGTGTACGTGTCATTTATGAAGGGACAGGCTTTAGCCCTGGCATAAAAGTCTCCTGTCAATCACACACAGTTCTTCACTGTAGTCCTAGTGTGTTTATCACCTTTTTGTTTGCCCAATGGCTATGGTTTTCAAAACTAAAGATGTGGCTAATAGAGAAGTTGGAATCTCAGGATCTACAGTGAAATACCAGGATATTTAATCACAGTGAAAACCATAAGTTACATTGATAATGACAAATTAAAATGTTTTGAAAGGCAACTTCCTTCCTGCTTATCTGCCTCTCCACACTTAAAATACTTGCCTTTCTAGACATTTTAGTTTATCAGCATCTCCCTAACTTTGCTTGAAATTTAGATCTTTTTCCATTATTTTACAGTTGATGAATCCTGAACCAGTAAAGCACTGTAGGAAGTCAGCACTCTTCCAGTTGGCAGAGGTAAGGTCTCCTTTTTGTCTCAAACCTGAGTGCTTTATTAGTAGCATTTTGCAATTAGTAAGGACTGCACAAAGTTGGTACCAGAAGTGTCTTATCAACAAGGTATTGGAGAAATTACTGATGTTGCCGATAAGCACAGAACCATTCCAAAGATTAATCAGTTGCAACATATTTTTTGTATATAAATTAACATGTAGGTAAAAAATTTCAGGAAGGGGGGCGGGAAACCTAACCCCCAGACCAAAAGACAGCAAGTAAAAGGGGAGGGGAAATGTTGCAGACCATGGTATTATTTTTTTAAGGACCCAATCTATCATTTATGACAGTCTTAACCTGGCATACAGGAAATATTGCAGCCAACATTAGATTAAATAAATTGTAGATGCAGTCCAGAGAAAGTTAGATGCGAATGAGAAAGGTTTCACATATCGCATATCACCTAGGTATCTGCACCACAACAACGTGTTTTAAACAGTGTCTGAAATGTTTTATGCACCAAAAATTAAAAGTGTGGAGTAGCTCTTGGATTGACTTGTACTCAGTAAACATATGCATTATATAAACACAGATTAGCACAGCAGTTTTCAAAATCACAGTGGCCAGTTCTTTGTTACATAATCACACTGGTAAAAAGGCTCTCTGTTTTTCATTTTGCCACTCCCTTTCAAGTGCAAATGAAAGAGTCAAAACTATCTGCTATACACAGCAGAGGTGTAAATTGACGCAGTTCGATAGACAATCAGTGAAGATGTTATCAGTTTACACCCAAGGGAAAAAACCTAGTCCTATATTTTAGAAGTCTCCTTAGTGATGGCCTAATTCAGTAATGTTTACCCCAGAAACTGAATGCCACACTTTAAAGCACTTCTCTGGTACTCTTTAGGAAAACATTTATGTACATAATATTTATATCATACTTACTTATCTGTTTGGATACCATGCAGTTAAATTGTTCTTCCAAATATTATTGTAGAACTTAAAATTTTCCTTTGACATTTTGTGTTGAGCATAAAGGCACAATTTCATCAGTGACATTATGATATTATCTCCCTTCATCCCTGACTTTCTTTGTTTCTACTTTAGATTTCATCAAGTACATCCCATTCAGGTCCTTCTGAATTAACAAAGCAGTGTGGGACATCGGCATTGTTTCAGTTGGCAGAGGTAGTATTAAAATCCTGGGGCTTAATTACTACTGATACATTTGGAGAAGAGAAGCTGAATGATGCTGGTTGCCAAGGTCTGGAAGGCAGAGCAGTAGTACAGTCATAATTAGCATTGTTGTTTATAGAAGCGTAAATTACCACTTTGGCGCAAAGAGTCAAGTTTTACCTTCTCTAACCATTAGGCATGCAGTCTTTGTAGGACCAAGCCCCACAGTTAAGATGCAAAGGGAGTTGTAAGAACTATCCCTCTGCTTTTTTTTATTTTATTTTTTAAAAACTGTTTTGCAAAATTCCATTATAAGCTCGGCATAGAATCTGATAAGGCTATTCCAAATCAGGCTTTATTCTCAGCCAATAAGGTGAATGCGTCCTGGAGGGATCCTTCAAGTATACAAGCCCATACTTTCAGACTTCTTACAATCAAAAACGGGTACACACATATAAATGAGTGAGTAGGGCTATGGACACGGCACTCTCTGCTGAATATCGGTGGGACCAATACAGCCAAATCTTAAATGGTGCTAAACCAAACAAATGAACAAAAATGTATGCAGGCAGATGTCTCCAGAAGACAGGAGCAGTGAGGCAGGTCACATGTTACCTGGAAGTCCAGTACATATGACAAACGTATTATATTGTACTAATACCATTACAGAACATTGTTCCCATTTTACCACTGACAGTCATTGAAGATAAATGAATCCATGATACAGAATTCTTAACCAGAAATAACTGTTGAGTGATGAATTGTGCCTCTGACCACTTGCAAAATGCATTTCCTTCATCATTTAGAGCCTCCTCTACACATTCACAGTTAAGAAACAGACCCTAAAGTAATGGTGTCTTTCCAATAAACATTAAAGACTCGGCGCCTTTCTTGAGAAATTAAGCACTGACCCCACTTACAGTGCCACTGATTATTCTTGCCCATGCCTCTAGTTTAATTTGTGCTAAGACCCCATCGGAAACCTTATTTTCAGTACAAGGGGTGAGGCCTAGAATACAGGAAATAAAACTCCTCTAAGGATGTTAGGCTTACCAAGTACTTACCTTGAATCGGCAGGGGACACATGCGTCTTGTCAGGAACATTCCCGTGCGGAAAACAAATGCGACGCACCATGCTGTCGCCCAGACGTGACTCCAGCACACTGTTAACACTAAGCGTGTTAAGAGGTAAATTATGCACTGGGAATGAAAAGGCATTCTGCATATCCTTTAGGGTTACCAAGTATCTACCTTCAAATCAGCGGGGGACACATGGTTCCCGGCCGGAACATCCCTCGGTGGAACACATCCCTGCCGCACCATGCCGTCGCCCAGATGTGACGCCAGCATGCTGGGCACGTAGCTGAGCGACGCTCTAGCAATGGAGCTGGAAACTCGATGGTACCATCGAGTTTCCAGTCCCATTACCAGAGTGTTGCCCAGCTACGTGCCTACGTCACGTCTGGGCGACGGATTCCCAGTGCATAATTTACCTCTTAACACGCTTAGAATTCAGAAGCACATTGCATTTCAGTACAGGAAAGTTGGAGAGTATGCAAGTCTTCCATTCACAGAACCTGTCTATCTTCACAGCATTTTGCTGAAATTAATGCAACGGAATACTTTTAGGAGGCAGGAATATTGCTCTCTCTGAAAATTTAGAGATCTCTAAAGTTCAATTCAGTTTACCTTGATACCACATGAGAGTCCACTTTCTGTGTGTGTGTCTCCCAGTTCCCTTACATACACATTCTCGTTCCATATAAGGCAAAACAGTGAAAAGTTGTTTTTAGATTCTAAAGACTTTATAAAATAAGTGGCCTGGACACACAACACTTTTACTAGGACATCTAGTTCTTTTGAAGTACTATGATTTAGGGTCTTCCCAAATTATTTATTTATTTATGTTTGGATTTATATCCCGCCCTATCCCGAAGGCTCAGGGCAGCTGACAAGGGCACTATGTGCCAAGGTTATAACAATAAAACACATAAAACACAGCTCCTTCCCACCAAACAGCAAACCTGCCTTTATCTGTCCCTCTGACTTCAGCTTTTCCTCTCCACAAGCCTCTACCTAGGGAATCTATGTCAGAGTTGTATGGTGCCCTCCACTGGGACATGCCCATTTGCATAAGAGGGAGCTCTCAAGGATTTGTGGAGGACATCACTTTTCCCCTGTATTCCCCTTGTCACATTATTTCCCCTTTCTGTCCTTCTGGCAATCCCCATGTCTTCTCCCCTTTCCATGCCTCACTCTCTCCTTCTCAGCCATTCACCAACCTGTCTGTTATCTGCCTCCCATCTTCAGCAATATTTAACATTTGCTTCATTTCTACCCTGCCTTTCTTTACAGTGGGGACCAAAGCAGCTTATATCATTCTCTCTCCTCCTTTTTATCTTCACCATAATCCTGTGAGGTAGGTTAGGCTGAAGCATGTGATGGGCACAACATCACCTAGTGAGCTTTCCTGGCAGACTGTTGATTTAAACCTGGGTCTCCCAGACCCTACTGTGAAGCTTTAACTGCTACACTACACTGGCTTTAATAGAGTGTCTGCCATTGGATGGTAGCAAGCAGTCAAGCTTACGTGAGTCATGCAGTTGGGTGGTATCAATTACCAATTGTTTCCTGCCAGGTTTGGCCCTGATAAGCACTCCCTCAAAATAGCCAAAATAGCCCTGGAGAAGGCCCTGTGCTCCCCTCCCCCTTTTTATTGACAAAAACCAAGCCTAAATGCTGTAGTTGCCTAGCAACTCCCACTGAGGGCTTCTGCTTTTTAAACCTACAGGTGTTCCTTTTATCATTTTGGATTTTTTTGTAAAAAGCCATGTATTCTTTTTTTAGGTTTCAGATTTTTCTGCAAACCTGGGGCATTTTTCAGGTTTGTAGAAGATCTATCTTGTCCGTTCACAGCTCCAATCCCTGGATTTAAGTATCCTCACGTTTGGCCGACTTCGTTATTAGAATATTAGATGTACAACTGTGTTCTCAAAAAGTAGGCAATGGAGGAGGAGAACAGCAATGCCAAGTCATAACCATAATTCCACAAACTTTTGGGGTTTTTTGCAGGCCACTGGTGTTTCAGACACATATTTTCTACCAACATAGTATTATTCAATCTGCTTAGCAACCTGGGCTAGTAACTAGAATCATGACCTTCAAAAGATAAGGAGAGTCATTGCAGGTTTTGATTTTGAACTTCTGGTTCTTTGCAACCACTTTAACACCAATAATTCTGTAGATAGCTATTTCAGATGAACACTGAGGCAAGTTCAGGGCCAGCCCAGCAATATTTGACACCCTACATGAATTTCTTTGCCCCCCTCCCCCTGCGGCAAGGAAGCCAGTTTGGTGTAGTGGTTAAGTGCGCGGACTCTAATCTGGGAGAACCGGGTTTGATTCCCCACTCCTCCACTTGCACCTGGCTGGTTGGCCTTGGGCAAGCCATAACTTTGGCACAGCTGTTCTTGAAAAAGAGCAGTTGCTGTCAGAGCTCTCTCAGCTCCACCTGCCTCACAGGGTGCCTGTTGTGGGGAGGGGAAGGGAAAGGAGTTTGTAAGCTGCTCTGAGACACCTTCGGGTAATGAAGGGTGGGGTATAAATCCAATCTCTTCTTCTGCTTCTTCTATAATACATTTAAATGCAGAGGATTTATGATTTAGTTATTATTTAAAAGTATGGGCATGGCATGGCAGTACCGCACAGACATATAATGGGAGGCCCCCTCCACCCCCCCGCCCCCCACCCCGTGGGGGGGGGGGGGGGATCCCAGCCAGCAACCCAAGTGCATTCATGCAGCTGAGTGATCCATTAGACATTGGGGTCTTTTGGTACTCCTCCACCTCTGGTGCCTCAGGTGTATCTAATGGATAGGCCAGCTCTGAACATACTGAAGATGCTTCAGAAGGATAGCAACTTTCTGTTGTACATATTCATTGTATAGACACCATATCCCCAGAAAAACAAAAAGGAGTTGTGAAAGATTTAGATATATTTTTAAAGAGAGCTAGTGATACACTTTTAGTTTTCCAAACACATAACAGAGCTTTGTGATGTTTTTCATTCACTAAAAGAATATAGCTGAAGAAAGCACACACATTGTTGTTCAAGATTAAAGATCAAATCAGACATCATGCAGGGAAATTCATGCAGGATTTTCCCAGGGATTTTTGTTGTTGTTGTTTTATAAATAAGAGCAGTTTGCGGTACTTATTTGGACTGTGGATTTAACACTTCTGATTGAAACAACCCACCATCATGGTCTGCACTAGGACTCTTTCTTTGCCTGTTATGTTTCTGTTTCAGGGTCAATAACAGCCAGGGCAGTAAGTTAGTTAAACCCCTTCCTCTTCTGTACTTAGGCATCAAGTACTTACTGTTTTCCATTAAAATAAATCAGGAAGTTTAATTCATAGCTTGTCGAGTATCACATCTGATTTGGCCCAATCCTGAGCACACTTGCATGGAAATATGTCCAGCTACAGTATATTTGCCCTGATCTGGATAGCCCAGGCAAGCCCCATTAGTTAGTATTTGGATGGGAGACTACCAAGTAATATTGGGGTCGCTACACAGAGGCAGGGAATGGCAAACCTCCTCTGTATGTCTCTTGCCTTGAAAACCCCATGGGGTTGCCATAAGTTGGCTGCAATTAGGTAGGTAGGTAGGTAGATATCGCATATATTGTTTTTCTTCTTTGAAGCCAATTAAAATGGTGTACAAGAAGATAACACCATTTTATCCATAAGCGTGCATAGACAGGTAGTCTGCTAGTAAAGTAAAGGTAAAGGTTCCCTTGCTCGAAAGCCAGTTGAATCCTACTCTAGGGTTGCGGTGCTCATCTCCATTTCAAAGCCAAAGAGCCAGCGCTGTCCGAAGACGTTTCCCATGGTCATGTGGCCGGAATGACTAAACACCAAGGCTCACGGAACGCTGTTACCTTCCCACCGAAGTGGTACCTATTTATCTACTTGCAATTTCTTGCTTTCGAACTGCTAGGTTGGCAGGAGCTGGAGCTAGAGATGGGAGCTCACTCCATCATGCGGCACCCAGGTCTCAAACTGCTGAACTACCGACCTTCCACAGCCTGCAGTTCAGCGTCTTAGCCACTTGAGCCACCGCAGCTCCTAGTCTGCTAATACCCATTGTCTTTTTAGTAGCATTACCAAGAATACAAAGGCCATAGAATGCCAAACTATCTGAATGAAGGGATTCAGCTCATAAAGCTCTTATGTAATACTGTCATTCATGCCTTAGTTAGGAAAATGAGATTGATTTTTTTTAAACTTGTTTCAGATGTGCCTTGCATCAGAGGAAGTAAAAGTACAGGAACCTGGAAAGGCAAAACTGGAAGCTTCCAATATTATCAAAGCATTGGAAGAAACTGAGGAGATGAAGGTTGAAGAGCCAGAGAAGGCAAAAGTAAAAGCTGAAAAATCTCAGAAAGTGAGAGCCCAAGAACTTGAAAAGACAAAGCCTGGAGTGTTAGAGAAGGTGGCAAGATGCAGTCATGTTGCAGATGCTACTTCGGACAGCACAGTGTTAAGTAGCACAAAGGCAGAGGACTTTGCATGCCATTCCCATGAGTTAACAATGGCCGACATCAGCACCTTGGGTTTAATTAAGCCTGAGAAGTTAAAAAAGAAGAAGAAGAAAAATAAGCTGGACCGGCAAACTCTTGAAAAATGTACCCCTAAGAAGGCTTGCAAAAAGAGGCAGTCTTCAGAGTCAGACATTGAGAGTGTAATTTATACCATTGAAGCGGTTGCAAAAGGGGACTGGGGGGCAGAGCGGCTTCTGGAAATGCCTGGCAAGAAAGTTCGCCTTTCCTCAACCACGAAGGGGAATTTCTTTGACATAAAGTCACCAAAGAAAAAAGTGAAGTCAAAAGAAAAAAGAGCGCTAAAGGAAAAATGCGTAGAGACCACCAAAGAATCAAAGCCTCCTGATTTTTTTGACATTACAGATCACAAAGAGTTACAATGTGATGTTCCTGAAAGCATAAAATCAGAACCACTGACCCCAACAGAGGAGGTGATGCCACCAAGTTTGCCAGAGCAGGTCAAAATTGAGGACAGTGACTGTAGCAAAAAAACAGAGACCTGTGGCTCAAGAAAATCTGAGAGAGCTTGCAAAGGTGCTCTATACAAAACTCTGGTGTCAGAAGGCATGCTCACATCCCTGCGTGCCAATGTTGACAGAGGTATGCATTAGTTTTAGTGTATTGCTCACCAAACCAAATAATAATTGCTGGAAAAGTTAAATTTTGAAGAAAAGATGTTTAATTAATTAATATTTTCTATCCCTTTGCCTTTTATTTTATTTTTTTACTATTGAGAACTAATTGATAGATTTAGTTGGCAAGTATAGTTATTCACATTTATCCAATGCTCTTTATAAACTAGCTCTATTCCTGAAAATGCTTACAGGCACATAGCAAACCATTTCAGTAATGCAACAGGAAGCCCAGGTCTAGGAATATTTTATTCAATGGTATAACCATAATTGTTTGCCTTAGCAGCTAAAACTACTTCAGTACCCGTAAAAGTTAAGGCAGAGGTGTTATGGATAGTAGTCTTATCATTCATTCCTAGCTGCTAGAACCACTGGTCCTGGTGATCAAACTGATGAATGGTCCTTAAGTGGAATAGCTGTGCACATAATATCCCAAGGCTGCCTTTGATATCTCCATGTCTCACAATATCCCATTTATATGATTTAACTTTATCATATAAAGGAAGCTGCAGATGCTGGAGCAACATGGTATGCTTTGGACCACTGGTTCTCAAAGTGGGGTCTTCCTTGGGTCCATGAGGGTACCTGGGGGAGGGGATCTGTGCGATGAGGAAGTTCTTGTAATTCTTATAAAGGTATTAGAACTATAGTATAATTTATCAGCTCAGGTGATTGCTTCTATAAGGGAAAGTATTATAGTATGGTTTATTGGACATAGAGTTGCCATCCTTCAGGTGGGGCCTGGAGATCTGAATTACCACTCATCTCCAGACTACAGAGATCCCTAGAGAAAATGGCTGCGTGGGAGGCTGGACTCTGACATTATACCCCACTAAGGCCCCAACACTCCCCAAAACCCTCCCTCTTGAGGCTCCATCCCCAAGTTCCTAGGAATTTCCCAACATGGAGTTGGCAACCCTAACTGTACATATCACCCCTTTTTACTGCAATTCAATGTTTTCTGCCTTGTAACTCTCTCTTCAGTATGGTATGTCAAACTTCAGACAGTTTTAGGTGGTAGCCATGTTGGTCTGAAGCAGTAGAACAAAGATCTGATGAAGTGTGCATGCGTACAAAAGCTTATACCCAGAATAAAACTTTGTTGGTCTTCTATGCTGCTGGACTCAAACTTCATTCTCCAGACAGTTTTGCTGCCTCAGATGGCTCTTTGTGTTTACCTGCACTGTTTTCCATGTCTTCAATCCTAGTCTCACTGCATTGTTTTGCTTATTAAAGATCTTTGCTGTCTAATTTATTTATTTTTCATGTTCTGTAATCTGCCTTGAATTTCAGTGAAAAGGGTGGGCTATAAATCCTGTTAATAAATAGTAATTCTTTGGGGAAGCTCTGTTCTTCAGCTGCTATGATGATCTCTCCCTGTATGTAATGAACAATTGTTACCTAATTCAAGGCTTTGCCCTCCTTAGCCAAGAGAGAGAGACAGGAAGCTGTGTGCTCATCGCTTTGGAACTTCCTCCTTCTACTCTATATTCCAGCTTTATGTTTAGAGTCGCCATCATGTACATGACAGGTTCTTGCCTCTAGTCAGTATGGTAGCTATGGGTGTGGAGGTTTTCCAATCCACTTTCTATTCCACAGCAGTTCCATTCCCAGTTAGAGGAGAATGTAGTTAATATAACTGTTCATCTGTCAGCATGGATGTTGAAATGCTCTTTGTACTACAGATGTGTGTGAATAGCCTAACCAAAGCATTGATTCTTCCTTTCCCTCTGCCCCCTCTGTCCAACAACCTTCCTTCTCAGCAGCAGTGATACGGGATGGGAAAATTTCCAGAAATTCTCCCAATGTTATATTTTTCCATGGAAAATTTTTCACCCCACAGATGTAAAAATAGCCTGTTGTGCTGCAAATGTAACATGTTAGATGGGCTAACTGTGGGATATGAAGCATGGAAAAAGTCAGTGCTTGTACATGGTCAAGGCCTGTACATGGAGTATTTGCCTTCTTTTGCTAACATTATTTAAATTAATTTAATTTGTATTGGAAACATTTCCAGAGAATTTTCCAGTTCCAGTATTCCCAGAAAACCCACATCATTGCTTAGCAGTGGACAATGGATGCACAAACAGATAAAAAATGGATGGGTTGGATAAATTTGTTCTTTTGAGATTTGGGCTAATTTAATTAATTATACCATTTCATAATATATAAGCAGTTGCTTAGCATTTGCAATGTTAAATGGCAACTTAATAAACAGAAGTTTTGCAAATCCCAACCTATATGATAAAATTGCCTCCTTTCAAGTGTCAAGTTTTTAATATCTTTTCTAGGGAAACGAAGCTCAGGAAAAGGTGGCAACTCTGATCATGAAGGATGCTGGAATGAAGAAAATTGGACATTTTCCCCAAGTGTAACAAGTGGAAACAAGAAGCTTAAAAAACCTAAGCCAAAGGAAGAAACCGTTTTGGGGTAAGTGAGGTAGCACACATGTGCTCAATTACGCATATGTAAGTCTCTCTCATGTTACTTATAAAGTGAATAGAAATAAATAAATGCAGGTTTATAGTTTAAATATGTTTCATTTGCCCATCTGAGGAAAAAATAAATGAATGCAACATTGTAATTCTATAGAATGCAGCTGTTAGTTCTGATTCCATTCGCTGTGTGCTAGGATATAGATGTTTGGATGTGGTTGAAAAAATTAGAGTAGAGAATCATTTGCCTAGTAATGCACAGACTGTTGTTTCAGGAATCTCTGATGAATTTTTTGTTACCTTTCGCATGTACTACCAAGTTGTGGGTTGGTCTCTTGTCTGGTCCTCTACACATCAGGCCTTGTTTCCTTTCGCATGTACTACCAAGTTGTGGGTTGGTCTCTTGTCTGGTCCTCTACACATCAGGCCTTGGAGCATCTTTTTGTAGTTGCTACATCAGAGCCACTTCACCACTGCAGTTGAGGCATTGCCCCATTTGAGACATGTCTGGGGTCAATATCTATGTGTTTGAACTACTCACAAGTACAGTGGTTAGTATTTTTAAGAAATGAAACAGAGTTTGTCATCTTTTCAACTTCTTGATGGAGCAGAGTACTAGATTACAGCCACTTGGCTAGACCTCTGTCCCTACTGAAACTTCAGGATGGCTGGAAGGAGCTGGTGAGAAACCGGGGCAGTAGGGAAAATCCAGTGCTGACAATCATCATAGCAGAAGTGAGCCCTTAGCTGGTACTGTGAACAACCCAACCCAGCTTGCCCCAAGACAGGTGGTCCTTGGGACTGTGGGAGTCATGAAAAGCCTTGACAGGCCAGGAAAAGGGGATGTGGGAAGAGCTTTGGTGTGTGGTAGGGAATAAAATGCTAGGAGGAGGAGTCAGCAAGAGAGAAGCCTGGGAGTGGAGGGGAGTGGAAGAGACAAACAGAAAAATGTGGAGAGGGAGCTAAGAGGAGGAAGAGTAAAGGGGAGAGGGGGAAGTTGCTGAAGAAGCTGGAACCAAAAGACTGAAGGGAGGACCTGGAGAGCCCTCTAGTGGCAGAGGGTGAGCATAACCACAGATCATTAGCATACATAGAATATTTGCCAATGGACTGCTACAGCAAAGCCATCCTCCTGGTGGTTCCTCATGGAAGCTGGGTACAGTGTGCCGTTGTTCCCTCGCTCCCTAGGAAGGGCATCAACACAATTGTAGTCCTGTTGGAAAACGAGGAGTCTTGCTGCTGCTGCTGCTGCTGCTGTCTTTGGGAGAGAGAGGTTGATAGGAACAGTGAACTTAATTGCTGTGGACAGTTCCAGCACTAGGTGAATGTTCTGATTCCCTCTGTTGAAGCCTGCACAGCGAAACTTATTATTATCATTACCATTATTTAGTTGAAATTTTGATTCTGAGTTCAGTTCACAGCGCTGGTTTTGACCTGTAAATCTATATATGATTTGGGCCCAGGAGATCTGAAAGGCCATCATCTCTCATGTGAAACAACCTGTCCAATAAGATGGACGGAAGAGGCCCTTTACTGAGTACCTCTGCCTCCTTTTGTAAAGTGGGTGCGTGTAAGATCTCATTGGTAACACTACATTATAGAACTCTCTTCCGTGAAGTGACCTGACACCTTCAAGCCCCCTCTCCAAGGAACAATTCACTCACTGAGTTTATGACACAAGCCATACAATCTCTTGTGTAGAAGCAGTTGTAAACAAGCTGGGGACCCACAAGGATTTGTGGGGGGTCATCTCACTTCCCCTCCCCCACTATTTCCTCTTCTCCTTCCCTGAAAGCCCCTTTTCCTGCTTCCTCTTCTGCTTCCCACCAACCAGCCAGACTACCGTTGTCTGCACCCCTGTCTTCAGCTTTCCCTCCTTTACTCTGTGTAATGCCAGCAGCTGGGCTGGGGTCAGCCTGATTGTGTGGTGCCAACTGCTGCATTGTTGGGTCCAGTGGCCACCATGCCAGGCCCAAGGGCATGTTGCCAGCTGCAGCTGGGCTGGGCCTCAATGTGGGATGCCAGCCAGACCAGGCCCTGATGTAAAGTGGGTAACTGGCAAGAATTTGCAGGGGGCACCTCACTTTCCTCTGTCTCTCCCTTTGCATACTATTTCTTCTTTTTCTCCTCTTGGCAGACCTCATATCCTTGTCTCCTTCATACCCACCTACTTCAACATACTTTTATCTGCCTCCCATATTCAGCTATATTATTTATTTATTCATACCCCACCTTTTCCCCCTGGAGGTACTTAAAGCAGTTTACATCCCGTTCCTCTACTCCTCTTTATCCTTACAACCTCCTGAGTTAGGTTAGGTTGAGAATATGTGACTGGTCTAAGGTCTCCCAGTAAGCTTCCATGGCCAAGTCGGGATTTGAACCTGAGTCTCCCAGATCCTAGACTGAAAATTCAAAATACCATGCAATACTGGCTTTTGTGGAATAGCTGCTGTTGAACAGTAACAAGCAGCCAAGCCTGAGTGAGTCATGCATGTTCCATGTGATCAAGTTGTCCGGTGGTTGCTGCTGGGTCTGTCCTGATGAGTCCTTACAAAAAGGTCAAAATAGCCCTGGAAAGGGCCCTTCCCCTTCATCTGCTTTTTACCAACAGAAACCAAGGCTTGAAGGCTGGTAATATTTTTGTGGTCATCTAACACAGGGAAGGCATTCGTTTATTAAAGGTGCACTTGGTGTTTATGTTATTTGGGAGGGTTTTAATCCCCAATGTCTTTTTTTATATATTTCAGATTTTTCTGTAAACATGGGGCTTTTAAGGACGCAGTCTCTGGATTTATATATCCATTGATGGGGACATGTTGAGAATTAGATAATAGGGACAAGTGGGGACCTGCAATACTTGCAGGAGCAATTTCCCTTATGGCTCAGTGAAGGGAGAGACTTGCAGTGGGGGATGAGCCTGGTGCCCTCCTCTGCTGCTGCTCAGCCCAGCATAGCTACCGGCATCCTCCTCAACTGCAGCTGAATCCAGCAGGGCTGCCACATGTCCTCCACCACCACAGCCAGGCCGCAGTGGTTGCCAGGAGTCATCCTCCACCACAACTGGGCCACAGTGACTCCTAGCCCATTCTCCTCCATCACGGCTGGGTCCGGTGTGACTGCCGGATGCCCTCTGCTGTGGTGGCCAGGCCACAGTGACTGCTGGTCATGTCCTCCACCATGGCTGGGCTGCAGCGACTCCAAGACATCCTTCGCCACCGCGGCCAGGCTGGCATGGCTGCAGGCATCCTTTGACACTGACGCCGTGCCCAGTGCAGCTGCCAGAGTGCACCACTGGACCAGGCTGTTCTGAACTAGATGACACAAATGTATTTGGGAGGCATTTAACTTCCCCTATATACTTTAATGTTTATCTCAGATTTTTATGCAAACCCCCGAATTTGCAGAAAAATCTGTTTAGCCTCCACATGGCCCCAGTCCACGGATTTAGCTATCTGCAGGGCCTGTTGAGTCTGGGTTTTTTCAGTGGAAGCCCCATTGACTGTCCTGTAGTGAGATCCATGCCACTTGTACTCCAGATAACCAATACTGTGGTGATCTATGGAAAACAAAACGTAAAGGTCTCATTAACTGTTATTAGCCCTCATCGTGGCTTATACATGTATCTATTTTGAAGTTTTAATGTTTGCCGCCTTGGGGACCCTAAGTTGGATAGAAAAACATGAAAGAATTTTTTAAAAATAAATTAGACTAAAAAGTGCCAAAGGAGCTCCAGTTGTAAGAGCCAGATACTTTACAGTTCATGAGCACTATGTGTGATCAGTCTGCGGGCAACTAACAGGCTCATTTTGTGCCCTAAGGGAATCCTTTTCCATGTGTACAACTCTACATGCAGGGGAGTTGTATCCTGCAACTTCTGTGCAGGAGATTGGCCTAATTGTGTCAGGACATAAAATTTGTCGTATTGGGATTTGTAAACCCTTCTATGTTTTAAATCCATATTAATCTATTCTGTGTTGATTTTTCCATCTTCTGTTCTCTAGCTTAGCGAAGCTGGAAGAGGAATTTGAGAAAAAATTCAACAGCCTTCCTCAGTACAGTCCTGTCACATTTGACCGGAAAAGTGCATCCATACCAAGAAAAAAGAAGAAGGTTGGGAGCTGCTCAGCAGATCAGCCAAAATCTAGCAAAGGTAAGCAATCCCATGCAGGGTATGACTAATCTATAGAAGCTGCAGTGCTAGGTCAAAAGCTGCTTGCTTTCGTCTGTTTCATTTAGCATAAGCATATATGAGGCCAGATGCAGTAAGGTTCCCCCCCCCTACATGTCAGAATTTTCACACATTCAGCTCAATGTTTTTCGATTGGTGTGGGTGGAAATGAAGGGACAGCATGTTATATCTCTGGAAAGCAGAGCAGGTTTTTTCCCATATACAGTTTTAACATTTTTCATTGCAGAAACTTCCAAGAAAAGCATTTTACAATTTTCATTATTGCTGCTTATAAATGAACTTATCAGTTTCTGTTCTAGGCTGAGGAAAGATTGGGTCAGGTCCCACCGGGTGGCCCTTTTTTGTTCCTTTTATCCCTAAGATTTCATTTGTGAACCATAAACACTAACAAGACTACCTCATGTGACTGATAAGAAGATTCAAAAGATGACACGTCAAAGACCTTGGGAGCAAGAAGTGTATTAAAATACTGGGCAAAATCCACCTAAAGTTAGTCACCCCTGGCAGCTCGTTGGATGAGCTTGTAGAGGACTGGCATAGCCGACTCACCGCAGCCATTTACGAGATCGCTCCCCAGCGCCCTCTGCGCTCTCACTCTAGGCTCGCTCCCTGGTTTACCCAGGAGTTGCGGCTTATGAAGTGAGAGCTGAGACGACTAGAGAGACGGTGGTGCGAAGCTCGAGATGAAGCCACAAGAGCATCTTATAGGACGTTTATGAGATTCTATGAGATGGCAGTCAAAGCCGTGAAGAGAGAGTACTATGTGGCTATGATTGCATCTGCGAGCTCACGCCCAGCCCAATTGTTTAGAACGATTCGGTCTATAACTGTTCTGCCACAGGGCAGACCAAATGCTAGGGAACTGGAAATAGGCTGTGAGGCATTTGCGAGCTATTTTGTGGATAAAATCTTGTCGCTCCACCGTGAGCTCCCCGCCACAGTTGAAATACTGAGTGAGCTCGAGGCTCCATGCACGTCTTCGATCTCAGTTTTGGATCATTTCAGCCTGGAGGAATTCGACAGATTGCTCTCAACGGTACGCCCAACCACGTGCAGCCTTGATCCGTGCCCTTCTTGGCTTATTAAAGCTGGCCATGAAGGGTTTTGAGGTGCCTTAAGGGAAATTATCAACAAGTCCCTCTTAGAGGGGCTGTTCCCGGGGGCACTCAAGGAAGCAATGTTCCACCTAAAAAAAAAATCTCTGGACCCAGCCAAATTGGCTAACTATTGGCCGGTTTCCAATTTGCCCTATTTGGGCAAATTTATTGAGAGGGCAGTGGTGATATAGTTTCAGGGCTTTATGGATGACATAGATCCCTTCCAGTCCAGCTTTCGCCTGGGTCACGTGATGGAGACGGCACTGGTTGCCCTCACAGACAACCTCCGGAGGCATCTGGATGTGGCCAGCTCGGCAGTACTGTTGTTGTTGGACCTGTCGGCTGTGCTCAACACAGTTGACCATCAGTTACTGACCCATTGCCTCGCCGACATGGGAATTCAGGAACTTGCCTTACAATGGCTTGCTTCCTTTCTCCAAGGTCAGGGACAAAGGGTGGCACTAGGGGAACAGCAGTCCAGGAGGCACCCGCTGGAGTGTGGAGTGCCTCAAGGGGCAGTGCTTTCCCCGATGCTATTCAACATCTCTATGCACCTCCTTGCCCGGAGGCACAGGCTGGGATGTCACCAGTATGCTGATGACACCCAGCTCTACCTGATGTTGGGCAGCCAGTCGGACTCCAGGCCAGAAGATCTGGACCGGGCTAGGTGGCTTAGACTGAGCCGGCTGAAACTGAATCCGATGAAGACGGAGGTCCTGTGCTTGAGTCGGAGCAGTTCAGGGGTGGGGATCCCACTCCCGACCTTCAGTGGGGCACCACTGGTGCCAGCACCAGAGGTTAGGAGTTTGGGAGTTCTCCTGGATACCTCCTTAATGATGGAGGCCCAGGTAGCAGCCACTGCTAGGTCGGCCTTTTACCATCTTTGGCTGATTAGGCAGTTGGTTCCCTTCCTTGACCGCAATGACCTGGCAACAGTGATCCATGCGATGGTCACCTTGAGACTAGACTACTGTAACATTCTCTACATGGGGCTGCCCTTGTCACAAATTTGGAAGCTGCAGCTAGTGCAGAATGCCGTGGCCGGGTTCCTGATGGGCCTTCCTAGATGGGAGCACATTCAGCCTGTGTTGAAGACATTGCATTGGCTGTCAATAGCATACCAAATTCGCTTCAAGGTGCTGGTACTTACCTTTAAAGCTCTATATGGCCAGGGTCCAACATACCTGAGGGACCACCTTTCCCCATATATACTCCAGAGAGCACTACGGTCGGGGTCTCAAAATCGACTGACCCTCCCAGGTCCCAAGGATGCCAGGCTCACTACTACCAGGGCCAGGGCCTTTTCAGTGGCAGCTCCATACTGGGGGAATGAGCTCCTGGAAGAGATCAGGGCCCTGCGGGATCTTTTACAGTTCCGCGGGGCCTGCATGACAGAGCTCTTCCACCAGGCTTTCAACTAAGGAGCCGCCTTCACTACTGCCACCAACAATCATAGTTATAGGTCCTGGCCCTTAATTTTGACATCTGGCCTGTGCTGCCGCATGACTTAGGAAGATCACTGAGCTGAAAACTGTTTTCTGTATGCACTCTTCAGTATGCCATCTGAAGTATCTAATTAAATATGTCCAGCACTTTATTTATTTTTTTTATTTATTTTTTTAGGATTTTACAAGCTTATTTGTAACTGAATTGTTCAAATGTTTTTATATGGATTTATGTATCAACCAATGTAAGCCGCCCTGAGCCTATTTCCGGGGAGGACGGGGTACAAATTAAATAAATAAATAAAACCTTATTGTAAGCAAGGGAGTGAGTTCATAATGACTTAATTTTTGCTGTATCATGTCCAGTATGCATTTTAAAAAGTCCCACTGGAAACTCTTTTGCCATCAGTGGGGCATCGTCATGACTAGTTTTTTTGCTGGATTTTACCCAGCATTTAAAAAAAAATCGTAGAAAGGTTATTTACAGAATAAGAATCCAAGATAGAGACCCCGCAACACACGTACACATGTGCAAACAGTTACTGCTTTTCAGGTGGTTTATTTCACCTGTGAAGCTAATGGATCCTTACTTTGTCTGAACAACAATTCACTGATTTATTATGTTGCTTCCTAATACTAAACACTTGGAGGAAATTCTTTAACTTTAAATTAAGGAAAGTAGTTGACATTGGGGGGATCCTAGTTTGGGTTCCAGCGCTGGCTTTTAATACTTTATAAAGTCCCTAAGCCAACTGTCAGAATTAACTTACTATAGGATGAGTCTCTTAAGGATGTAAGTCATCTGACAACTTTTATAATTATACAGTATTTTATTATTTTATGTGTAAATTGCTATTTTAATACTGTTTTAATTGTATATTTAATTGTTGTACACCACCATGAGCCCATTGGGGAGGGCGGTATATAAATCTAATAAAATAAATAAATAAATAGTTGGTCTGATCCACAGAAAGTGATTAAAAAACAGAAACAGGTAGAACTTCTGTAGTCCTAGAACAAAGAGAGGTTGGTACGCTGCATGCGCTGTGCAACTACATTATGCTCCTCTCCTGACAGATTATCAATGGTGTCAGTTTGGTAGGGCCAGGCACCTGCTAGCAAAGGAAGGGGAAGCAGGTAACACTCACTCTAGGTGCTCCTTCATCCCTGCACTGACTGCCTAGCAGATGGTCAGTGCTATCACTCTTGATCATCTGTAAAAAAGGGAGAAGGAAAGGTATGTCATAGAGCCTATATAAAGATAGATATTCACTGTTATCATTAAAAATTCTCTTAAGTCTGGGGCTAACCTTAACACTTGTGTATTCATGTTCTAAACTGGAGTAACAACCAAGCCAAAGACACACACATGAACACACATGAAACTGCTTTACACTGAATCAGACCCTTGGTCCATCAAAGTCAGTATTGTTTACTCAGACCGGCAGCGGCTCTCCAGGGTCTCAAGCTGAGGTCTTTCACAACATGAAGCTTCCTCATACTCAGAAGTTCAGATTGATGCCTAACTATTCTGACAATGATGAAGTCTTGCAGCTTTGGCTTTTTTCATTCTGCTTCGTACCCAAGTCTCAAGATGCAAGTAACAGGGGAATCCTTTCTTAGAAGAGCTCTGATGATATCTTCATTTGTCCCTAGTAGCATTGCTCATGATCATTATATTAAGCCTCTCATTGATCAGTCATCCCCTTACACCCTGGAAACGCTGTCTCCTTTGCTTAGTGATAAGGATCTGAAGATCACGCTGGCAATAGCAAAATTCATTTCAGTCCTTTTAGCCCTTGCATTCAAAAAATGAATGAGAATCTTCTGCTGGTCAAGATTTGTTAATCAATGAGCTTCTAAGGGAATAAAAGGTAAAGTATTGCTCAGGTGGCTCGTGGCTAACATGGATTGTTCCATTTCAACCATATCATCAGAAGGAAAAAAACAACAACAGTGAGACAGCATGGAAAAATAAAAATTCTGTGTCTCTCCTAAATGTTCCAGAGTTGGCAAGTATGCAAGAACCTTTGGTTGGCAGCCAGAAGAGAAAAGCAAGGAAAACCAAGATCACTCATCTGGTCCGGACTGCAGATGGCAGAGTCTCACCAGCAGGAGGAGTTTTAGGTAAGGATAGCATGACTTGTTTTCAGGGCAAATGATGCTTCTTCCTCTCACAAATACCAGTAGCAGAATGTGTGAGAAGCTGCTGGTGCAGATGCATCCTGTGATATATACAGATAATCAAGTTGGTAAATGATGTGTACCATCAGAACATTTAGACATTTATAATATTATTAGAATTAACATCAAAATCATAATACGTTATAACGGACTCCTTGTATCTCCCCAACTGTCTGGCAGATTTTTCCCGTCAAAACTTCAGTTCACCTCAGTTACTGAGTTGCCCTACAGTAGTGTGTATATCTTCTCTATTGATATAAACTTGAAAATGCCCCACCTTTTGTTTAGATATTAGTTTAGGCTTTAGACCCAGTACAAGAACTTGAGGGAAAGACAGGAGCTGTCCTGTTTTATAAACTCTTGTGAAATTGCACTTGAGGCAAATTAATTTTGGCACAGTGGCACAGAGGATTTATCCTCTGGTTATAACAGTAACATCTGAGGTGAACAGGCTTGCTGTCAGTTCTAGCCCCGCACTGATGTGAGCACTGATGTGAGCTACCAGCCCTGTCTCCAGCTCGCCGTCTACCCAGCGGTTCGAAAGCTTCAGCGAGTAGATAAAATGGGTACCACTCCTTAGAGAGAGTGGGCACACTGAACCCCCCCCCCCCCGGTGGGGTGGAGCGGTGTTAGCCGGCGAACGGAGGTCCAGCTCGCAAGATTAGAAAGCCTAGAGAGATCTCCTCAGCATGAAGAAAAGCCTGTAATGGGCTGTTCCAGCCAGGCGGTGGCAGTGTGGCGCTACAACTCGAAGGAGTCTGGAGAAAAGCTGACGCCATCAAACCAGGCCAAGGAAAAAATGCTGACCAGATCACGTCTCATCTTCAAAACTGAACAAAACCCTCGTCGGCAGTGAATGTGTGTGAATTAAGATGTATATATGTTGTCTTCCCATACAAAACAGAATAAAGAGTTTATTAAACAGGCAGGGAATATATGTATAATAGGAATATTCAAGGTTTTAAGATTGCTGAGGTAAAAACTTTCTAATACATACAGAAGTTGAATTCTTAGAACATTCAAGAGAGTGTATTTGTAGTTTTGTTTCAAGGCTTCTAGTTCTTTCTTTGAGAGGTATTTTGTTTGGTATATATCAGCACTAACACAGTTCTTATTAATGTTTCTTCTGGAGGACAGCATTTGCTTAAAGTTTGTAGATTTCTTCCTTCAGAGTTCTAGGTTTTCCTGTAGATATTACAGCTTTTCACTAACTCCTGAGGTGTCTAAGCTTCTCCCCTTTATCACAGACCACGGTTCTCGTCCCAACCCCTTTCACTGGCAGGAAGTTATTCTCTTTGTCCCTAAGAAACAATAACTCCTTCTAGTATTTGGCTTGTATGAGAGTTCACTCTAACTACCCAGACCTTCTGCCAAATCCTTCTCCAGTATCCTTTGTCTGTATAAGGCTGTTCTGTAGATTTCCTGACTGAGAATCTAAATTCTCCCTCAGAGCAGTTTTAATATATTTAAGATAATGGGGCTTCTCTTCTCTCTGTAGAAGTACTTTTCTGACTGTTGCCGGTCAGAAAACACGGACTTCCAAATGCCTTTTTCCTCAGATGCCAAACCCTCTGGCTACTGATCCAGACATTAGTTTTCAGACCAAGACGAAATGATGAAAGGCCTCTTTTTGCTCCAGATCAGCTGTTTTATTTCTTCTCTCAGCTGATGTTAGCCAATCAGAGAGCAAGTTGAACAGCCAATCACATAAGCTCTTCTCTCCAGGGAAGATTAACTCATGACCTCCCTGACCCGCTGACACAAGCCGCATTTTAAAAAGGCTGCTTTTCTGTGCAATCTGTCACACAAGTGCTTAAGAGTATTTTATACTAAGCATTTTTAGTGCCACATGGTAACCGTTATTTTAAAATTTATTTTTATAAATGCATTTGTTTTTCTGCAAAACAAGATCTTAATATACCCTACAAAATTTTTGTTCAATACCATGTTAAAATAGCTGAAGACTATCACACAAAATACCCTATTAAAAACTATGATATTTTTAAAAATATACCAATTAGGGCTGCAGTTACACCAAAGCAATCTTTATTCAGATCTTCAAATATCTTTAATTATATTTAAAAGCACCCATGGGAGCTTCCATATTGGATTAGGTCCATGGTGTCAGAAGATTTTTTTTTTACACTTTTGATTCCTACTTGTTTTTTTATCTGAATTCTGCTGTTTCCCCTGTGAGTCAAATACTACCCACCTCCTGGAGGACATTTAAATTGTAACAGTAGGCCCACTCATGGGGGTAGGGATTGTCTGCAGCTGCTTTAAATAGACCTTGAGGTATTGGGACCCTGGTCACAGGTTTCCTGCATCTGGTCTAGTTGTGCCAATTAAAGTCAGTATTAATAAGCCTGTTGTATAGAGACAAAGTCAGCTATTATCAGGAAAGAAGTTATTAGGCAGATCTGTGTAGATTAGAGGACAGGGGAAAGCCTACTAATCTTATTTAAGAAAAAAAGAGTACCACACAAACCTTCCCCTCCTGATCTGTCAAAGCATGGAGAAATATATGCATCTTTCCCCCATTTTTATAGAAGAGAAACCAAAGGAACAACTGCAGGGTGATCTTCAGAAGACATCAAGTACAGGGACAGACTGCAACAAAGAATCCTTGCAAAACACTGGATCAGAAGAAGGTCATAGTATTACACCAGACATGCCATCGGTATCTGCATTCTTTAGCCTAGCTGCTCTTGCAGAGGTAGCAGCAATGGAAAATGCACACAGGTTAGTGTGTTCTTTCTTTTCTGTTTTGGCCTAAAAAGATCTCTTCATTGCAGCATCCTTGCATTGTATCTGAGCTCATCACAGGGTATTTTTATGGGTCCATGACATGCCTTGCTCATACTGACTCCTTTGGTATTCTGTATTTGGCAGAGCCAACTTTAACTTGCCTAATAGTCTGTTTGAGTTTTTGTAACACAGCATCTCCTGAAAACCACTGGGACAGCAGAATTAAATCTGGTGCACATGTTCAGGAACCCAAAACATTTTTAAGACAAAGCTTGGGCCTTTTCAGCTGTTTCAAAGGGATCAGGAGAGATTGTAAAGTCTACTATAATGTAGTTTCCCTTGAGCATTAAGTTGTCATAATGAAATTCGGTATATGTGCTTACAAAATTCTGTGTTTGTTCACACATCTGCTTGACTCCCACAACCCTATTATTGGAGGGAGTGTAGACATCCAAACTATATTGCCGTGCATTATCTGAAGCAGGATGTCTGAAACACTGTACGTTACTAGCCTCCATGGTAAGGTCTGAGTTTTTAGCTGGGCCAAGCAAGGTTTAAAAAACAAAGCTTGGCTATTCAGCTTCCCCTTTGGGTTTGTCTGCTTTATCTTTATAAAATGCTAAACTCTCTTGAATATTAAGAAATTGGAATGAGATTATGTGCATCACATTCAGGATGGGTTATGTACAGGTCAAATATCAATTTGCCCACCCGCCTCCCAGTTCTTTTATTTAAGAGAGGCAGGAATGATACATGAAAACCACAATGTGATCTCAAAATGACAGTTGGTGTAAACAGGGGCCCTTTTCCAATCTAAACCATAGCTTATCCTTCACAATCATTTTCAGGGAGAAACACACTGAAGTGGAGACTGAGACACATTGGTATCCATCCAAGACTCTATTCCTAGCTCATTGTCTTGCACATAGGCTTGCCAAGTCCCCCCGGGGGGCGGGGAAACCCCCGCCCGAGAGGCCCGTTACCCACCGCCAGCAGATCGGACCCCGGGGGGAACCACACCCCCAAAGCAAGTGACATGCCCGGCGTCAGCACGTCACCCGGAGGTGATGTAATCGCGTCGGGCACATTGGGGGTGGGGCCACAATAATCTGAGGGGAAACTATGATTTTCCCTCGAATGATTGTGGCCCCACCCCCAATGTGCCCAACGTGATTGTGTCACTTCCGGGTGATGTGATTGCGGTGCACATGGACTCCCGGATGAGCGCTGGACTCCCGCCCGCTCTTCATAAGGCAACCCTACTTGCACATGCACTCATATATTTTCAAGAATAAATCTGCAAAATGGAGTATAACATTATATTGAATGTGAAGCTTGTTGAACACTGCCTTTTTTATTTGTTTAGTGTCTTTGGAAGTGTAAAAATAAGATTAATTCTACCACCTCAGTTTTCTTTCTGGCTCTTTATAATGCTGATTGAGGGTAAATCCCCAAACATATATAGTGTAATTGTGATCATATAGGCTATGCTAACAAGTTTGTACTTTTTAAGGCTCTGAACAGCTTTGGGAAGGTATGGGCTTCACAAAGCAGAAGTGTATATATAGCCAAAGCAGCTTACCTGGAATTTAGCTTACTGTTCTGGTTAGGATTCCCTTGCAGTGGGTTCTCTCAAATCCATCACTTATCCTTTTCAGTATTATTTGCTCACAACACATTGTGGCTGCAAACTCCCTAGTCAGTGCTATATATAAGGAAAGAGATTGGTAGAAATGTGCAGGAGGGAAAGGCTTCAGAAGCTGGAATAGAACATGCCACAAAGGACGATTGAGGTATTTCAGTGGTGAGACTAGGAATCTGGTTTGCACACCTCGGCTTCTCTCCTTCCCAAAAAAGGATCTCAGCAGTTGCTCAGGAGACTATGTTGCCAGCACTCTTTGTTTAAGCCAGGCACATCCTACCCTCTAGAAATATTGTCTCTTCTTTTCTTGTCAGGAATGAGCAGTGGGTGGGAGCAGGTTTTTTAGTTCAGAGCTGCTTATTTCCCCCAAAACTGGCAATCACTCAGATTTTTCCTTTGATTAAATAAAGTTGTTGGTTTCCCAAAATATATGAAGCTGCAGCCCAGGGAACTGCACCCCCTCTGTTAAACTATGATGAAAAAGGCAACATCAACTTTTAAACATGAATGTTTGAGCTAGTTTTCTCTACTGCACCCAGGGACAGAATGTGAGTCACTTGAACTAGTATCAGGAAGTGGAATATTGTCTCAAAGTAAAGTCACAAAGCTAGTCTGTGGGGTCTTTTTTCCCATGTAAAATGGAAAAGACTGCATTTCCATACATCAGAAGATACTCAGGCTTATGAATCTGCACCACACCCTACCCAGGGGAATCTGCAGTGACCCTACCCCACTAGGAACACCATGGAAACAGTCCCTATGCTTGGCAGGACCTTTCCCACAAAATAGTCCTATACAACAACTGGACAAGTTGGCCAGCTGCCTGGGAGCCTTCTGCCAGAGCTGGCTGCCAACAACACAGAGCAGACTGAGGGGAAAGAAGACACCCAGGGATGACATCAGTTGGCAGTCCCAGCTATCAGATGCCCAGCAATGGCTGGAGGCATCAAGCTGGCCATCTAGAGACATAAGAACGGGGTGGGCATGTGCCCAAAGTCGCAGGAATATGGTGGCTGAGGGGGAGGAGCTTGCCCTCTGGTGATATAGGGTAATTGAGTGTTCTGGATAATCAAATGCCAGGTAACAGAGCTTTTACTGTATTATGTTGTTGTTTTTAATTGAGACTTGAAAATGGCAGACAAAACTGCTTCCTGGAGTGACTCAACTAATTCATGTCTTAATGACTTCAGGGTGCACGATCTGGAAATTTTCTTTGGTTGTATGTTTAATAGTGGTCTCGATGAGGGCAATTGGGAGAAGTGGGAATTCTAAAACAATGGTTTTCAAAGTTTCTGCCTTGAAATAATCTTTCCCCCACTGACACATCACTGAGCCCTGGAGAACAGCAGATTCCGGAGTCTGTTCTCAGGTGCAGAACCTGGGCCAGGCTTGTTCTCAATATAGGCTAACTATACAACAGAGGATACAGTCAGCTCTCTCTTACAGCTGTGGAATGCGAAGAAAGTTTGGTAGTGATGGGAGGGAGATCACTACGGTAGCTTGTCCATCACTGATTTTCTCATTGAGGAATCCCTGACGAGCTTCCAAGAATTCCCTGGGTCTCAGTTTGAAAATCATTCTTATATAGAAATAGAATTACAGTGGCAGTCATTAGGGGATGTAGTGTTTTTTAATTTAATGTTAGGTTCTTGGTTAATGTGTGTGTTTTTAAAAGGACATTTCACTGTATGGTACTCTTTCTGGAAAATGGTATAGTAATAATTACGTATTATGGGGCGTACTTTCCTTGTGGCAGAAGTATATGTATTTTTTGTTTATTGCAGTTCAGTCTTAATGGCCTTTGTCTTCCTTTTAATACAGCATAGATTTCAGGCAACTTGCAATTTGATTGTAGTAGCTTATGGCTTGCACTGTAATTCTAAATTGGGGGACCCCAAACACCTGTTTGGATAACATACTGTCTGGCCCAGAAGCCTTTTTCCGTACTCCCCAACAAGTAGGCATTGGCATTATCTGGGAGGCAGACATGGTGAACGAGTTGAAGATTAAAGGAAATCTCCCCCCTCCCACTGCAGCCTGCTGTGCCTGTTGGAAATGTGTAATGGTGTGGCACTGGAGTCCCAGGAACAGCATGGGGTAGCAGAGTGGATGTCTGGTGTGGGAGCAGAGAAATCTTCAACTATTGTACTGCCTGTTTTATAGGTAGGGGACATTCCACAAGAGGTCGGGAACCTAGCTCTTAGCTGGAATTGCTTATCTATTCTGGTCTTCTCTTTATTTTTAACAGTATTTTATTGCTATCTTAATTATGTTTTTTTTGTTTTAATTTCACTCAATGAAATTGCTGAGTGGTCAGGTTAGAACAGATAAAAGGAAGTACTTCTTCACCCAAAGAGTGATTAACACATGGAATTCACTGCCACAGGAGGTGGTGGTGGCTACAAGCATGGACGGCTTCAAGAGGGAATTAGATAAGCATATGGAGCAGAGGTCCACTGGTGGCTATTAGCCACAAGGTATAGATAGGGGCTCTGGGGCAAGTGATGCTCTGTCTTCTTGGTGCTGGGGGGGGCAACAGTGGGAGGGCTTCTAGTGTCCTGGCCCCACTGCTGGACCTCCTGATGGCACCTGGTATTTTTGGCCACTGTGTGACAGGGTGTTGGACTGGATGGTCCATTGGCCTGATCCAACATTGGCGTCTCTTATGTTCTTATGTTTAATTAACTTATTTATGTAAACTATTTAGAAACAGAAAAACAGGAGGGGGGAAAAGTAACAAATTGATTTTTTAAAAATCCTTCTCTTTAATCATGTCTGTGTATTGTATCAGGAATGTAACTATTTTCAGATGAATTTTGGGCTAATGTTCATCTGTTCTCCCCCTTGTAGGACCCCAAGGACGGCACCTCTTCCACATGATGGACAGCCAAAAGAAATGTCTCAGGCTCCAGTGCTTATTTCCTGTGCTGACCAGTGAAGCTCTACCCTATTGTAAAAGTTGTGCTTTACCTAATATCCTAGCCTTGTCTTTACCAATGGATGCTAGTCAGTCCATGTGATGGAGGAACCCATAGACTGAAAATGAGTGGTTCGTGTTCAGTATGGCACAGATTTCACTTATAGCCTGGGTCGGTGCTCCCCGGGTTTGGGGCCCCAAATCTACTATAAGAGTGATGTTATTTCTCTGTTAAGGAACAGAAATGAAAAGATCCTGGAGCTTTGCTTTCTACTGAAGGTTTTTAAAATGGTATACGCATAGTTCATGGAGGAGGCAAACTTTCCTGTTGCTCACACAGCATCTGTTCTGCCAACCAGAGTATGGAAAGTAGTTTCATATAATAACTAGCTACTCTTAGCAAACAAAAAGCAAAAGAGGAGAAAAAAACTGACGCACTGCACTAGTTAGTAGATATTCTTAGTCCTTTTCGTACATGATTTAAGTTTTGAAGATGGTTTATATTATAGGTTATGCCTACATTTATATTTTAGAGTGAATTTAAGGACCTGTTTGGGAGAATCCAAGAAAGCATGGGCAGGTGTACCAATGTTAGTGGTGTATGTGTGGCCATATGGTCCAGACGTTCTGCACTTTTGTAATTGCCACCAGGGTGGTAGAGTTTATTGGCAAAAAATGTTGACAGGCTATATTTTGCTTGATTTTTTTAAAATTAAGCGTAGAATAATGAGGATGATTAGCAACTGGAGCAAAGTTTGGCATATTGATAAGAACAATACTGCAGGTTACGGATTTGTCTTTCCTGCCTTGGATGACTCATTTATTTTTGGATGGAGGTCTAAAATGACTGTGTGGGAACTAAAGCAGTGAAACAGGAAGAAAATACTATAAATACATAGTTCAGAAGTGACCTTAGTATTACTTCACACTTTTGAAAATCTTTTCAATTGACATGCATACTGATGTACATATTTTACAGACACTGGAATTGTCATAATACTATGCACAGTTTAAATTGGCTTCATAGGTTGTATGAAGTGCCAATGCTTGTTTGGAATAGTAAATTGCTGAGTGTTGTATAAGTAAGCGATGGCTGAGGAAATAATGTTACTTAATTTAGGCTGTCAAACCCCTCACTTTCCAGTTCATGTTCTTTCTGTTTGTTATATATTGTATCTTATTCTTGTGCACACATCTCACACCAGGGCAGAGTACTTTTTTTTTCTTTTCTACTTTTTCCTTCTATTTCTTGCCTGTGCCTATGATCTAGCACAAATAGACACCAGGGCTGCAAGTGGAAGTCCTGCTAATCAGCTGTTTCGTGGAAAGGGGTGGGTGATAAATTTACCCCTCTTGTCCCTGTGAATAGCCAGTTGGCAACATTTTCACATTTGGGGAAATTGTTTGCCTCTGCAGCCCCAGATGTTGGACCAGAGAGGGAACTGTGTATGGCAGCACCATTTGCATGAAGAGTTACCCATCCATCTAGGAATAAAGTGGATGCACAAGCTTCCACACATATCTGGGCAATTTTGTTTTCTAGCAACAAAAGTTAATTCTTATTAGAATTTGACATGAAGCTACATACAACACAGGGTACTTCTTTCACAGCACAAGATGTTTCCCTTATATGTTTTGCAACCTAGCACAACAACTTAACCAAATGCTATTGACCAGACCCCAGCAATAATTTTCTATGAGTCGTCTTCTTCTCTGGTGGAATTTTGTGATAGTGTTAAGTTCAGTGAGACCCTCTTTTATTAATTAGGTCTCTAAATGATGAGCGTTTACACAATTTTATCAGGCTTTCTTAATTTATACTTGACAGAATTGCTAACGAATGAGTTTTGGGGTTTTTTTGTAATTGGATTTAATAGCCATATGAAAAGTGAATCTTAAAATGTGCTTGGCTTAGCCTTTGTTTGTAATCAGTGCATGTCTTTCAGTATCAGAAACAACCTCAAACAGATCACACAAATTGTAACAAGTGATGATTAAAAGGAATATGTTACTTTGGCCCCATGAAAAAATCAGAGAATCCCTCAAAGATAAAAGGTGAAAGAAGGAAATGCCCAGCTTCAACAACAAATAAGAAAGTTAAATGCTTTGGAGAAAATTCAGGTAGAAGAATCTTCCTTGTGCCATTGGAGGACATGGCACTATTTTAATAGTTCAGTTTTGTTAATGTTCTTTAAATTATTTTACCAAAACAAAGTGCTACCATCATGCCAAACTATCAGGCATATATTGTGGTAGCTTTGGGAAGTTTAAGGCCATGATGTACTAACCATGGTTAAACCACTGCAAGTAGCTGAAATCCAAATATCTCATGGTGCAGCCTCTTCATCTTGGCCATGGGGCTGATGTACAGACTATTGAATCCATTAGAACAAATGCATTTCTACTGAAGTATCATAATCCTTCTGCCATTTAAATTTAAATGTTGTTCCTAAGATATTTGTTTATATGAATGGTACCTTTATAAAAGAAGCATAAAATTAGCTTTTTCTATGTGAATTAATACCTTGATTATCTTTCTTTCTTAAACTTCGTTGACTATCCCTTAGACAGGGGACTTTATTGGGTCAATTTAATATTAGTGTTTTCTGATGCTTATAAACCTTTCTCTAGATATGCTTAATTTTTAAGCGATTAGACACTGAGAGTAGCAGAAATCCTGCAAAGCTTTATAGTTATTAGGGACAAAATTCACCTGGAAGTTTTCCTGGAAGAGACCCATTGAAATGAGCACCACTAGTTTTGTGCAACTTCCATTAACTGTAGTGGGGGCTCTTGCAGGAGAACTCTGAGGGAATTGTATCCTGTAGCTCCCCCCCCCCCTTCTCTCAATTATGTCTTCATTTCAATAGATTTGCTGTATTCCTGATTCTGTTAGAATAGGGTATCTTATTTCAGGGTTGGAAAAAAGCAGCACAAGAAAATTTCAAAACAACAATTTATTGTTTTGTTTTAAATTTTTTATTATTTAATTTTTTATGAATCTCCATGGCATATATTTTTGTATACTAGCCAATGTCACCCATCAACTTGTGTCCACAAGCTCATCTAGAGACAGAAATGTTGCACCTTACTTATATTTCAAGCGAACCAAAATATAATGTTCTCTGCTTGGTGTTTTTTCCCCAATACTGTTACATTGTAGTTCATCAAACCTTTTCTAATTTAGCAAAAGCAATCAGTATTTCTGCAGTTCACCATATTCTCTAGATTTCAACCTGTGTACGTCTTTTATTTCTACAAAAAAATGAATAAGATAAACAGTTTACCCTTACCCATACTTATTGTTTAAAGTCAGGATGTATTTCTCAAGTATAAAACTTAGCACTGTCCCATTCTCTTTGTTTTTATCTATTTATTTAGTGATCTTTTGATATTTCATATAATTTTGAGGTATATGCATATTATCTGATGCTACAAACATAGAATCAGCCAGGAAAAGGATACTGTAATGTCATTTTCATGTAATTGTGTTAGTACTGTATTACAGGATGGGTGGGAGGGGAGTTCTATAAAGTATTTAACATGTATATTTGATTTTGATTCTCCTGTTAGGGTGTTTTTTGCAAATACGACCAAAACTGATGTAAAATCTTGTGGAGCTTACATTATGCTGTTGTACTTATGACAGTATTCCCCCCCCCCCCTGGATTGTACTGTGATTCCAGAAATAGGATATATTTATTTAAGAAGATATAGTGTGCTTTTTTACTAATATGAGAAATCCCAAAGTTATGAGAAAAGAACTTCTTCCTTTGCCTCGTTTTCCAGCTTATAGTTCAGTCTATGATTTTCAGAACTGACTTGAAGCATTGTGAATATGGGATAAGCAGCAGAGGATGTACTCACCTGCAAGTCTTTACTTAGCAGTGAAATTTGCTACTTTTCTTAAATAGCATAAGTAGCATCATTGTAGCTACTAGTCTCTTGATAGTCTCTGGCTTTGGATATTCACTTACAAACCCACAAAAATTGTACATTGCACCAAGAGAAACAATGCACAACAAGAGAAACAATGGGTGCATTATGTCTAGATATTTTCTTTACTGGTGTATTGCTAAGGATGGATTCAAGCAACCTTTGTTAAAATAAAATACATGATGACCTGTTCCCTATCCACTGGTCCACAAAAATAATAAGTAGCACTGGATTCTCTTGAAATCAGTTGGAAAAATAAAACTGGTTGTCTGAATCCACCCTTAGTTGGGAACATTACCATGAAACCATTTTCTTTCAGAAGTGCTCTATGGTTGGTGATTACATAAAGGTTAGTGTGCTGAAGAAAATGGGTAGGGAACGGAGAAAAATTAGGGAATCAGAGTGAATAAAGGGCATTATTCTAGCTTGATGTCAGAACAGAGGGAAGGAGTATAATTTTTTTAATTCTCTGAAGAGCAAAATGTGGTGAAGACTATGATTGTTGGGTTTGCCTTGTACTATTGTATATTTATGCCTCTCAGCTGCACTCTGTTTTGCAACTAATTCTAATAATGCTACCTCTATTAAAGGCTACTGCAGTTGACTTCAGTTTGCTTTCGAGATTCATCATGCAGTCTTTTAAAGCTAGAGATCTCTGTTTGGGGTTACAGTTTTATTTTCCAAAGTAGTTGGTTTGTAGAGGGAACAATGTAAATGTCAAAACAGTTAACTACCATATTCATACTGTTGCTACCTGGCATGTGTAGCACTTGTATGGTTTCTGTTGAGGCATCATAACTTTCCTTCCTGTTCTGTAAATAAGTCTGTTTGTAACTGAAAATAAATGCTGCAATCCAGTACTCCCCGTGCACAGGTACTTTGCTTTCTCTGTGAAGAGAAGTACATGGTCTACATGCAAAGGTATTTTCCACTGCACTGGGCTTTTCCCTTCTTATCAGTGATAACAGGACATTTCGTGTGCATGAAAAGCTTCTCTCACGCTATTAGACTCTTCCGTAACATTCTAAGTTATGGACACAGAGTATGTGATTATTTCCATGGTAAATAATTATTAAAATTCCCTTTATTATTTTCTACATGAATAGTACCCAAAAAAACCCATACTATTTGATTTTTTAGAGTTCTTGTCATATTTTGTGTTCATTTTCTT